TTCGACCCCCAAAGGGGTCGGGACCCCCAGGTTGAGAACCGCTGCTCTACTGGAAAACTTTCAACCTAGCCATGCAAAGAAAGAATATTTTCTCTGGTTCACACATACCCTTCAAACAACAAGCCTTCGTAAGATAAGACCAAGAGAAGGGTCACCCCTCTCCCCCAGTGAGAATATTTAAGGAGATTCAACCCATTCTATGCTTGGGCATCTGGATGTTACTGATTCCAGGAATATTTCCCCTGATATTTTTTCTCATTTGATATTTTGGAAAAGCTTAGCTATCATGTAATTTTACAATAATTAATAGGAAACTACCGTAATATGTAATACTCATGCTACTGCTGGCCACTTAAGAGGCCAAAAAAAAAAAAAAAAGATAACTCTTTGAAGCTCTAACGGTTTCCTTTGGAAGTGCATAACGTTCTGTTTCTAAGGACCAAACTGTATATTATAATCAGGAAGAAGATCTTGGGTTGTGGTGTATCATTTCAGACATTTCAGGCAATAACTTGTACCCTTGTATGTCTCCTCTTGAAAAAAGGCCTCTTCCCAATAATTAATTTAATTTAATTAATCATATTTCTATGCCGCCCAACTCCCAAGGGATTCTGGGCTGCTTACAACAAAAATAATACAAACAATGAACATATTTTTTTTAAAAAAAACATTATAAAAGCATTTTAAAAACATTAAAAACACATGCACACTATCCATGGCCAGATCTCGCAAGATTGAACAGCGAGATCAACGGCCCCAGGCCTGCCGGAAAAGCCAGGTCTTCATCGCTTTCCGGAAGGCCAATAGGGTGGGGTTTAAAAAAAAGTCTGAATGTGTCTGGATGAGCAAAAGGCAATCCTTTTTCTTGATCTACTAAGGAAAAAAGCAACTACCAGGGGCGAGACTAAGCTTTCAAGTGGTAGCTGTTGGCCTTTGTTGTCTTTCATCTTATGCAATGGCACCTAACAAGCTTCTCTTTTTCCTGAAGCAAAGCATTGATCCTTCTAACTCAATTTTGTCAAATAGAATGCAGCAGCAATTCTCTGGTGGGGATCTTCTAGGATCGACTGGTTCCAAGATCTGAATTTAGGTTGCCCTCCATGCTGAACATTGCTTTAACCATTGAGCAATGCTCTTCTACTCCTCCCATCCCCACCCCTAACAAGTCTCTGCAAAAACTTCTATGGCTTTGCTTCCCCACTTTCAGGTTGCCATATAATGCTCAATCAGGATTCTTGAATACAGGGCTTGTGAAACAAGCCACTGTAAGTTTGCACGCAAGATGTGGAAAGGGCTAAATGCATTCACCAAGCCTCTTTTTTGCTGGGATCTGAGTCCATTGAACCACAATTGTGAAAAAGAGTGACTTGGCTTTTTATTATTTGGTGAAAACACCAAAGCCAATAGTGTAAGCCCTACAGTACACCCAATGCTTAAAAAAGACCAAATGGAAAATCATTATATTATTTATTTGTATCTCATCTTTATTATTTTTTTTACAAATAAGGTGGTGAACATATCCAGCACACCTTCCTTCTCCTATTCCCTCCCCCCCCCCACAACAACAATCCCATGAGGTGGGTTGAGCTGAGGGAGAGTGACCTGCCCAAAGCCACTCTGCTGGCTTTCATGCCTAAGGTGGGATTCACCACTAGATTAAACTTCCTAAACTTGGGAAAAAGCTCCCCAAATCTTAACCACATCCATGTATACATAAGGCCCTTGCCCTTCTCAAAAATGGTCAGTGTGGACTTCATCTCCAGAAGGTTATATTATTTGAATATTTGACATGTTCAGGCATGTAGTGTAAATGGTTCTTTAATTAATGGACTGGATATATTAACATGATATTCCGGGTAGAAATTCTGGATGAAGTATTTTATATTAGTAACCTGGATATAATTTTCACTTTTTAAAAAAGCTTTGAGAACAACTTTGCAAATGCTGGTGTATTTTCTTGGTAACATTCTGAGCTTTTCTGATACTTTTATGGCTAAACGTAACGGTGAAAAACAGTTTTTTGTCATGATCTGTTGGAGAGATTTTGTAGCTGCATAAGGGGGATTTGGCTCATGGTGCAGAAGACAAAAAACTCCAAAAAGCTGATTTTTAGAATGCCGTATTGATTGATTTTTATCTCACTGTTGCCTCTGAGAATGGAAGCTAAAATTTTCATTTGCTTTAATGTGCATTTAAAATCCAATTATTTTGCTAAGGATAGTCACTGCTGAGCTACCATTTATATCTAAATTAAGTCTTTTCACTGATAGGATCTTTCACACAAATTTAATTTAAGCCTCTATCTACAGTTTTCCTTAATCCTACTAACTGAGGGGAATCATGTCTACATTTAATATTTAGTGTTTGATTGGACTCTTGGAGGTACTCAGATTTTTTTGTGCACACAGTGAACTTATTATCAAAACCCAGTCCTTGTGATTTTGCATTGCAACAATTTTTCAACCGCTCAGAATTTCTGAGAAATATTAGGGTGAAGCATCTCTCTGTATTTCTGAGAAACAATTCATGGGCCTAGTTCATCACAAGCATAGCAAAAGCTAAGGCTATGCGAGCCTCCTGAACCATGTTGTTCAGAGGTGCACAAATTGTTTTAATAATCTAAGACAATTTAGTTTACTAGAGAGAAATAGATACTTTAGTCTTAATGTAGCTAGAGCACAATATTTTTTGTATAATCTGAAACAAAGCTGCTCATGTAAAGAAAGCAAATATTGGAATAATTCCAATTTCTTAAAAAAATAAGACCTTTTTCACTGGCATGCTAAGAAAAGCAAGCAAGCTTATTTTTAAAAGAAAAAAAAATGTATACAATCAGATCCCCATTTGTATCTTGCTGACACACAAAGCACTGTGATTCTAAAAAAAGTGCTGTGGAAATTGCTTCCTTCCTCTTCATTTCAGACATTATTGCCAGGTTTTACATCCACCATTGTGATGATTGGTTGAAACTTATGGTACCACAGTCTTCAGCTCTGGCTATGACCCACCCACTTTCCCATTTCCAGTTAAAAAAACTGACCAGATAATGACAGTCTTCTCACTCTCTCACTCTCGCTCCCTTCAGATAAGTTTTACCAGGGAAGGTTTGATGTTTTTTTTTTTCCTCTGATGAGATCCAAGCTGCAGTATCAACAATAGGATTAAAGCCCTTTCTTTGTGCCTCACCAATTAAAGGACTAATATTGCCCAATATGTACAACAGCAGGTCAGCATGTCCTGAGCTGGCCTTTCTGGGCTTTGGTACATATCTGGAGAAATCTATTCCTATGGTACAATAGGATGTTGGCAGCTTAGAGAGAGTGTGAGCTATGTACAAATGCAACTGTCAGCTTTGGAAGCCATATTAACCTTGGAAGCTTCCACGCTGCCACCTTCTTGTGCTTGGGAAAGTAGGAGGGGAGATTTGATAGAGGGTTTTGTTAGACATAATAGCATTCTTCTTTTCGGTCAAGGTTATGGTGCTCCTGCATCTGGAGGAGGAGTGGTTGCAGTGGTGTCAAGTTGGGATGGATGGTGATTGGGCCATGTGATGGACTGATGGGTGCAGGGGCTGGATATGGAGTTTTGATTTATTGAGGGAAAACCCGGAACTCTCAGATTCGGATTTTCCCAGATGTGCCAGTATTACCTATTCCAATAAATGAAGATTTTGGGATGAAGCTTGTCTCAGAGTTTTTAATTGGAGTTGGATTGTTCTGGAACGCTGTCAACAACAATGAAACTCTCAAACATTTAAAGAAATTTAATCTGGCCCATATATTCATGGACTCAACACTACTTTATAAAGCATGGAATATTTTTTGTGTAGCCCACCTTTCAATTCATTTCTATCATTCACTTGTAGAAAGAATTGCCCAGGAGGTAATTATGAAGGAGATAATTTATTGCAAGTATAAGAGAGTTTGATAGTGGTGGAGGTGTTGTGAACACAGTGGTCAGAAAAAAAAGTGTTATTCGGAATATATTCTTGATGATAACTAAAGTTTCCTGTCGTCAGTAAGCTAATTGTCGCAGGAAGATACATTTGTTTTACTCATTGCCAAAGGCACTGGATGGCTATCAACCTTGACATAAAATAACAATACCTCATGTATGTACCGGTCTGTCTGTCTGTCTGTCTGTCTGTCTGTCTGTCTGTCTGTCTGTCTATATTTGCATCTACATAAAAAGAATGAAATTATGTTATTGATTCATGATGCTTGTGATAAAACTGACTTATTTGATCAGTTGTTACTCAGATGTTTTATCTGTCTGAAGTTCTTTTGTTTGAGAATAGACACTTTATACAAAATATAATAATCCAGAAAAACAGGTTTCTATAGCAGCATCTAGTGGTCAAAAGCAAACAGTGTAACTTGGGGATTTAATTGTCTTGGCTTCCATTCAGATTCCTTTCAGGAATTGCAAAATGAATGCAAAGGATTTCAAATCAAAAGGAGAAGCCATTGGAACCAATGTGCTGGCTGGAGACTAGTGCTTAAGACTAGATGCTTAAAATGATTAAACCAAGGCAGAATTTAAACTAAATGAGGCAGAGCAGGGTGGGAGAACCAGATTCTTTTTGGTGGGGTTTTTTTTTGGGGGTGGTGGTGGTAATTTTAAAACTTGGACTTTGGTGAAGGTTACAGAAGAAACTAATTGGACAACCATGTGAATTATTTGGGGATAATGCCAATTTATTATAGGAAAAAAATAGCATGCTTCTAAAATGAAGCTAATAAAATGGAAATCTTTAACCACCACAACTGTGTTTATTCAACATTTCCCTGATTCAACAAGAGATAACGAAATCTGCTCCAGCTTTAAGAGTTGAATGGATTCCTTCAATTTCATTCCCCCACCCCCCCAGGTTTATGGTTAGATTCCTTTAATAAAAAGCAGACATCTTCTGAAACAAAAACCAAAGCTTCTCTTGCTGAATTATTTTGTGTGGACACACAGCCCTATTATTTTTGCCTTGTTCTGTTTTGGTTTTGCAGGATCCTTTCACAGCATTCCATTTGGACAAGAATCTAGTGAGAACATATTTGAAGCCTTTATTCATTGGGGAGCTTGCAGCAGATCAGCCCAGTTTTGAACCCAACAAAAATGTAAGCTTTTCTGAGAACTGCCTTGAGAAAGATATCTTTGCTAATGCTATGAGGAATCTGCAGGAAAAAAAATTGGGAACAAAATCAAATATACCTTCCTTTGGTGGCCTGCCCAAAAAAGGGAAATACAGAAATATACTGTAAGGAGGAGTGGGATATGTTAAAAGCAGGGGTAAAATGCTCCCAGTTTGGACCAGATCGTCCGATCTGGTAACGATGGCGGCGGGTGGTTTGGAGAACTGGTAGCAAAAATCCCTCCCCCCCCATGCCCAGCTGAGCCGCACAATCATCAGAGGCTTTTTAAAAATTATTTTTAAAAGCATTTTTTCTACAACCTCTTCCGATGAAAAAATGCTTTTAAAAGTAAAAAAAAAAAAAAGCCTCTGATGATCGCGGGGCTCAGCTGGAATCATCAGAGGCTTTTCAAAGCATTTTTTTCTGCAGCCTCTTGGCTGAAGAGGTGGTAAAAAAAATGCTTTGAAAAGTCTCTGACGATCCCAGCTGAGTTCCTTGATTGGCAGAGAGGCATTTTTAAAAGAGCCTCTCTGACGATCCCAGCTGAGTTCCTGATCAGCAGAGAGGCTTTTCAAAGCATTAGAAAAAATGCTTTGAAAAGTTTTTTTTAAAAAAAGTTGGCCACGCTCACCCAGTCACATTATACCCCCCCCACCAAGCCACGCCCACAGAACTAGTAGTAACAGATTTTACATTTCACCCCTGTTAAGAGGCAGTTTTCAGGTGAGAGAAGACTGTGTAGTACCAGAACAAAACAAAAATGATCAATTAGAGTCTCAAAATGGGGACAAGATCTAGGAGATCTTTGGAGCGAGAAATATTAAATGTCTAAGATGTAAAATGTTTCATATATTTACGTGCCGACTTTCAGAGCAAAGAAACTTAACTTGGAATGATATCTCAATAGGAATGGGCTTTCTAAAAAGTGAACAAAGATGAACATGCACATGGCCATACACTCTGCATTATAGACAGTGGTGGGTTTCAAAATTTTTTTACTACCGGTTCTGTGGGCATGGTGTGGCTTGGTGGGCGTGGCTTGGTGGGCATGGCAGGGGAAGGATACTGTAAAATCTCCATTCTGTCCCCAATCCAGGGGAAGGTTACTGCAAAACCCTAATTTCCTCCCTATCAGCTGGAACTTGGGAGACAGAGAATAGATGGGGGCGGGGCCAGTCAGAATTTTACTACCGGTTCTCCGAACTACTCAAAATTTCTGCTACCGGTTCTCCAGAACTGGTCAGAACCTTTTGAAACCCACCTCTGATTACAGAGTCTTTTGTCATGAAACTAGAATAGGGATGGCATCACTCTAAGCTATATTGAGTAGTGTCAGGACAAAAGCCACATTTGTCTTTAATTTTATTAATGTAAAAGTCGATTCAATTACTTGCCCAACATACAGTATATGGAATATTTCCCCTTTGTATGGCTTTTATTGTTATATTTTGGTCATAATTTTTGGAAGACTTTAAAGGCTTCAGACTATTGTGGTTTAGAGGTGCCCACTGCCCAAGGTGTCAGGTTGTCCACTTCTGAATATAAAGTTGCCTTCAGAACAAAGGAAGTATCACACTGTGGTTTTTTGTAGAAAGAACTTGTGGAGGACTTCCGTGAGCTCCGTGCCACTGTTGAAAAAATGGGACTGCTGAATTCCAATCATCTCTTCTTCCTCCTGTCCCTTCTTCACATTTTGCTGCTGGATGTATCAGCCTGGCTCAATATGTGGTATTTTGGAACATCCTTGGTGCCATTCCTCATCACCGCTTTGCTACTTGGGACTGTCCAGGTAATCTGTTATCAGATGAAGCAGAGCAGGGCTTGAAGCTTCAAAAAAACTGAAGAGCTGTGGTAACTTTTTTTTTTTTTTGCAATTTTTTAAAAAAAATTTTAAAACACACAGACAAACATACAATACATCTTTTTGGAACAGAGCGTTGATCCGGTCATAAATTTGTTCAACTTTTTGTTCCATCTTTAACACAATTTTATATATTCTATTTTTGCCATAACATTTATTTCTTAATCTTGGCTCACATATCTCAACTATTACCATCTTATAGTAAGCTTACTCATATTAACTTAATCATATTAAGTTAATATGATTATTATTTAATATTAATCATATTAAATGGTTACCCTTCTATTAATCCACCTTAAATCTTAATTCAAATAATACCTCATAATACATTTCACAATTCTTACCCTAAATTCTCATTATTAACAATACAGTTCAAACATGTTTATATTTCTGAATCTTATTTCAATTTCTAAAACTTCTTTACATTTTGCTATTACTTCATATAATATTCATTAAATCTTTATTTAATTATTACTTCATCAAATTTAAATCTTATCTCTAATCTTAAAAATATACCAATTTAACAATTAAACAGAGTTCTTAATTCCAATAATGCAACATAATACAATTCCCAATTATTTTCCTAAATTCTGTCTATTTAACAATACCATTTATACAAAAGCCAATTAAATAAGTTATTTAATTAAATCATAATCCTATATCATTTCAGTTTTCTTTTCTTTTTTGCTTAGATAAATATATTGTTGAAAAATATTCAAATTATTACAATTGTAATATAGGTATAGGTATTTAAATGATATCCCAATTATTATACCCATTAATTTTCACAAATAATACCATCCAACATCTTAATAAAAATTAATTCATTATGTCCATTAATACATTTTCTTTTTACATAATCTAATTTTCAAATATTTTAGCTTCAATCCATATTTCAATTCTAAGTATCTGTAACATATTCTTCTCTCATTTCTCTCTTCCTTTCTCTCTTCCTTTTTTTTATTTTTACCCTTTTCTTTCCCCCTTTTTTCTTTTGTGTTCTAACTTCTTGAATTCCCCCCTTTTTGCCCTATCTGACCCATTGTTTCCCCTCTCTTTTCTCTTTCTCTTGTTTTACCATTGTTAACCTCAATGTAATCATTTTGTGAATCAAAGTCCTGGACTCTTCTATTTTGCCCTATATTCCCTAGTATTTTCCAACCTTTTTCTCTCTTTTTTGTCATTCCACTGTTAATCCCAGTGTAATCATCTAAACTTTTTGTGTTTTTTCTGCTCCATCTCTCTATCTAGCTTTATCTCTTCCCATCCTCTTTATTTTTCCCATTGTTAATTTCAATATAATCTCCCAAAATCTCCTTTTTATTGTGACTGTCCTCATATTCAGTTAATTTTACATAATTAATCTCATTGTCTTTATTTTCTTATTTGTTTTCAATCTCTGCATCAATCTCTGTCTTCAAATCCTTGTCAAATTGAACATATTCTATCTCAGTTATTAAGTCCTCAGATTTCGATTTTCCATGCAACATTGTTTTCATTTCCCTTATTTCTGTTTTCAAAGTCGAATACATCATTATAATCATCTCTTTGATTTCTTGCTCCATTTTACTCTTTCCAAATTAGTCTTATTCCAATTTTAAAAGTCTCATTAAAGATTTCTTTTTCTTTTCTTTCTTCCCCCCAAAGTCAAGCCATTTGGAAACAGAAAAACCCTCCCCCAAAGTTCTCACCACTGTTATCTCAGAGTTCAGAATTTTCCAAAAGAAAAGTTACAAGTTGCACCGTTCTTTTCCTCCTGAAGATGTCTCTCTACAATCCACAATTCTTATACTGTAGGTAATTTAACATAGTATTTTGTTTCAGTTAACAATTTTACTAATTTCTTTTCTTCTCTTTCACTTTAAAAATATCCACTCAATCTAGTCCAGTCCCAGTTAAGCAATACTTTCTTCTCTCTCTCTTTTTTTAAAAATATTTTTTCAATTTATAAAAACATTTCTGTTACAAGGGCTTATTTCAATTTTCTTTTGTTTGTCTTAACCTTCAAAAAAGAGGAAAAAAGGATCTGCTTATGTTTTCCAATCCTTTTTCCATATTTAGAGTTATTTCTTCTGATCTTTAATGTTCTCCAAATAATTTCCTTCCAAAAGTCAATTTTCTTTTCAGGTTTTTATCCCTTTAAATTCTGTTTCCGACTTCCTCTTTTTTCCCCCCTGTTCCCTTTAGCTGCCAATTTCTCGCTGGTTTTTTTCCCAAAATTTAAAAGCTTTTTAGTGCTGTTATTTCATCTGAGTTGGCTGTCACTCACCCAGCTTCAAAACTCCATTCCTTTCACTGCTCTTGCTCGTTGCTTGGCCCGGTTGCCCCAGCTTCGTGACAGCTGCAATGGCTGCCACCCCCGCTGCCGATTTAGAGAGAAATTCCTCTGACATTCGAGGAACTTGCCTGTTTCTCTCGGTCTTCTGAGGTGCCTCTCCTTCTTCCCCATCCCTACAGGATGGTTCTGGTCCAAAGACCGCTCGACAGCAGTTCGTCAGTCCGGGTTTTTGCGGAGCTCATCAGAGCCCGCTAATTCCCCGACTGTCTCACTGCGACGCTTCTGGTGATCTTTCAGCTGTGGTAACTTTTGACCTCTGTGAGGAGAGGTATCTATTTGCATTACCCTTAATGTCTAACTCAGCTTTTCTCTCGAGATAAACAAATATGGTAATCAAAGCTCTTTTCATTTGATCATCCTTAGTTTCCCATTTTGGGCAATATTGCCCATTATCCTATGCTCGTCTATGCAAAGAAAACTCTCTCCAAGTATGTTAGTAATATTTTTTTTCATCAGAACTCCCTTTGGAGTCTACTTTTTCATGAAACTGTTGGTTTAACTCAGGGCTGTCAAACTCCCGGCCTGCAGGCCAGATGCATCACAACCTGACCATACCCACCCCCAGTTTAGCGAAGGGGGAAAAAGTCCCGATACGTCACATGACGCAGCTGTGATGACGTGTGTTTGACACCCCTGGTTTAACTCCTCAGATCTAAGTCCATCTGCCTGTTAAACTTGTTTATTGTATTACTCCGATCTCTTCTCCTTCTCTCCTCCCGCCTCAACCTTCTCTCTGTGTAATCTTTTGGGAGCAAAGATTTTGCAGGTTACATGGAAAAGCATTGTGTGCAGTCAAGGCATTGTGGTCATGCTAGCTATGGCAATGTTTTCCAGGCCCAAGCCGGTTGGCTGCAGCATGATTTTGGACATCTTTCTGTCTTTGGCCAGTCTAAATGGAACCACTGGATTCACAAATTTGTGATTGGACATTTAAAGGTGAGTTTCATGAAAATGGGCTTTGCTCTTAGCCATGTCATGGCATTGGGGCTCAAGAACGATTGGGCCCCTTACACTCAGATTTTGCTCTGCCTAGTCAGGAAATAAATACCTGAAGAGGCCTCTTGCATTTTCCTTGTTTTGCAGGGAGCTCCAGCCAGCTGGTGGAATCACTGGCATTTCCAGCATCATGCAAAGCCTAACTGCTTTCGCAAGGATCCTGATCTCAACATGCATCCTTTGTTATTTGCCCTGGGAAAGATACTCTCTGTAGAGGTGAGGCTTGTGGGATTTGGGGAATGTTGTGTGAAGAGGGAAATTTTGCATGCGTTCTGAAGCATCAACCCTTGTAGCCCCTACATACTTTTACTGTAGATCTTCAAAAATTGTTATCACTGTGTACTTTTGAATCTAACAGAATGGAAAAATTATCAATTACATCATTGAGATAGTGACATGAATTAGAAAGGAAAATGAAATCTTCAAAAACTCAGTTTTGCCCTGGGCCTCTTTACATGAGTTAATAGTTAAATGCTGTTGAGGCTTATTTTGTCACTTAGACTGATTTAGAAATTTTCAAATAAAAAAGCACACTTATGTAGTTTTATGTGAACACTGGCCTTTTTTGTATATATTTGACATAAAAACTTAGTCGATAAGATTAAGTATAATAATTGATATTTGTCAAAACTACAGCTTTAAAACAATAAAAATAATAACAATTTGTGTTGACTTTAAATGTTTTTAAATGGCTAGGTTTTAAATGTCATGGAAGTAAGGACAGCTGATTTAAAATAAATGAAAATATTGGGAAATCTGAGTGGCAAATGGGATGATTTTTTTTTTTACTTCAGGTCAAAAGTTCAGTATAAAAATAGAACACCAGAGGTGAAGGTACTTTGTAGTTCATAAAGAGTCAGACGTATGGCTGTTTGTACTTTGAGCTTAAGTTGTCACGAGCTTTTGGTGCACAGAGAGCAATTTTGAAATGAAAGTTGTAGAGCTGGAGATGTTTAGACGACCAGACAGGTACATACACAGAATCTTTTGGAATGCGATGGCTCACTCCACTCCCAGGAGGAAAGCTTCTTTCCTTTCAGGGAGAAAGAAAAAAGGGCTTGGGGAAGAAGGATATAATTTCGAAGAAATGTTCCCAGGAAGGGGACCCAATTCTTAGACAGATGCATCTATATCTTTTTATATTGAGAATAATCCTCTGGGGGAGTAAATCCTGCCTCCCTGACCTTCTAGAATGTTTTGAGAATGTCAGCATGTTATTAACCTGGATTTTCAAAAAGCCTTTAAGAAAATTTCTCATCAGAGACTCTTGATGAGACTCTTAATAAATTAATAAATAATAAATAAATAAATAAATAAATTAACCTAGCAGCTATAGATAAGAAGGCCTTTCCTTTGCTGGATTGCTTGTTGGTTAAAAATCAGAAAGTGCTGAGGTGGCCAAGGCTGCACATTATTCTAAATTGTTCCGGATAGTCAAAACCAAAAGAATTGGGGACACCTTATTTTAGAAAGAAGGCAACTGAAAAGGAACATGCCTGAACATATAAAATCATGTGTAATGTGGAGAGAATACAGACAGAGAGAAATGTTCTCCTTCTCTGGAAAGATAAGACCAGCAGTCATTCTGTAAAATTGTTTGAAAGGAAGCTTAAAATAGACAAAAGGAAGCACTTCCTTGAACAATGTATAATTAACTTGTGGAGTTTCTACCACAAGGCTGCATAGTGGCAGCTAAAACAGCTTGATTTAAAAGGGAATTGGTTATATTCATGGAAGATTAGTCTGTTGGTATTGAAGAGTGAATGTTATCACTCAGTTGTGGGGGCAGGGGGCACATACCAGGTATGTGCTGCTTGGAGGCACCTCAGAAAAATCTGCTTGGCCAGAAACAAACTGTGGGAGTAAGATGAACCACTTAAGGGCTATTCTTAGGTTCTCACTATATATGTTTATCCCCAAGTAAGTATGAATAGATTTGTTACTGCACTCTCTAATGTGTTGTCTTGAATGAATTATTCATAATTTCCTTGGCGACAGCTGCAGTAGCCACAGCAGCAGCAACAAAAACCTATTAAAGGATTCCAGTTCTTTTAGTGGCTAGATTATGGATGAAAGAAATCATACAAAGTTGCACACAGTACCTCCTTTTAGGCTCATACTGCTTTAATTACTTAGGTATGCGAGAGCAGTTTGAACTCTTCCTTTGTCTGAGGGATTCCTTTCATCCATTAAATTAAATTAAATTAAATTAAATTGCTAGCCAGATTTCATAGAAGAACTTCATTGGTTGTTAGCTGTCACCTTATTTGCCAGGATAAGCCTTATTAGAAATAAAGCATAGTTGAAGATTGTGGTGTGTTTCCCTTTTCTTCAAATGGAGAGAAGTACCAGGACAATTTACTGGTTTTAGTTTCTTTTGGGTGAAAAACATTTGGAGACTAATGACATATTTGCAGTATTCTTTATGGAAATATAAAGGCAAGGAGGAAGAGAAGAGAAGAGAAAGAGGGACTTCAGCATGATAGAAAACAATTTGCCCCCTTAGTTTCCTGTTTCACCCATCATGTGGGTTTAACTGTTTCCACCTAGAACCATATGCCATTCTCACTTCCTTCCAAACTGACAATTGCTCTCCCTTCTTTTTTTCCTTTCGTGTATAGTCTTCCATCTTCTACATATCACCTACTGGGAGCCACATATATACAGTATTTAGTGATCGTGAGCTCCCAAGACAATAGGGGAAGTTGCCAATGCAATTCTCTGGAGTTTTGTGTGCGGCCTTCCTGTGAGACATCTTGTTAATCTGGTTGCTCCTTCCTTTTCCTGGGAGTGTGGCTTTGTCATACAGGCTGAGTGCAGATACATAGGCTCCAGCTTCTCTTGTAGACCAAGAGATTACAGCTTCTTGTATTCTCTACCTACCTCTACCTCTTCAGTCAGCGGTGTATTATGTATTAGCAACTTCTAAAACGTATTGCATGTGGTTTTCTAAAACTGATGGCTTTACTGAAGAAACTGCAATTGCTTTTAGACTGGGTTTGAATCTCATTTGTGTTGTGCCGATATACTGTATATGTACAATCTTTTATAGGCTTTGGAAACACTGGCACTGCTAAGATATCCTTAACTTTGGCTCAAATAACTTTGGCACGGATGGTAGAGAGTGATTGATGGACTTAGGTTTGCCAGGACAAGTTTGTGCATTTATCTGGTATGATTTGTTGAATGTTGACTTGCTATGAACCTTTCTCACCATACACAGCTTGGCATAAAGAAAAAGAAGTTCATGCCATACAATCACCAGCACAAATACTTCTTTCTCCGTGAGTATCATTTTCTTTTTGAGATATTCGTATTCTTATTAAGGGCACATAGGATACTAAAGAAACCAGTGATTTTTGTATGTGTGTGGTGTGGTTTTGCTGCCATTGGTTGGAAGGAAGAGTGAAACCCTATTTATCTGGGAAATATGGGGATAACCTTTTCCTGTAAAAAATGTCAACTAGTTATATTCCTGTCAAGTATCATTAGAAGGAGACCTTTTTTGCAGCCTTTGTACAATATTACTATAGCTGTTTTATGTCACCCTATTATAATCTCAAATGTTTCTACCCATCACATTATATTTAATACTCTATGGCAAACAGCACCATACCTGACAAATGAAGTTTTGTATCCCAGGATTAACACAGACCTGGTCCACCTGGTTCAATACTATCTGTATCCCCTTTTCATAATTGAAAATATGATAGATGTAGATGCATACGATGATGGAACTGAGCCACAGTGAACCAAATGGAATCTCCATGGTTACAGGAGCTTGGTGGCACAGTGGTTAACTCTGCCCACAGCCAGGAGTTTAATCCTGAGTGGCTCAAGGTTGATTCAGCTTTCTATCTGTTGCAATATTTTTAGGATCAGACTCAATAATGATAATAAAGATTAGAGGTTTAAATATATCTCTCTTTAATCTTAACAGGCATTCTATATTCACTGAATATTTACAGATAGAAGCAAGGGAAATGGTGAGGGTGGCTCCTTATATATACAAAGGGCGGAGTCAAGGATGGGAGTGGTGAATTATGAATACATTAGGAAACAAAGAATAAGTTAACCCCTGATATCCCATATATACATTATTTACAGATTAGGGAATAAGGCATTTACATCTGACAAATCCCCCTCTAAATGCCGGTTCGCTATACAACACAAATTACATTCAGATTCAGGACAATATAAGACATATAATTTTGAAGTTAAATATTTGTGCTGTTTAGAAGGTAAAGGCTTCGTTAATATGTCAGCTAATTGTTCAGAGGTATCACAATGCACTGCTTTGATAAATCCATCTTGAGACAATTGTCTCACATGTTTAAACTTTATATCTATATGTCTGGATCTTTGTCCAATGGCATCGGATCTGGATATTTCAATGGCTGCTTTATTATCTTCATGCATAACAAAAGGTAAAGCAGGTTTTTTCCAGACATCTGAAATCAAATCATTAAACCATACAAGGTTATTTGCAGCTTTGGATAAACAAACATATTCCGCTTCTGTGGTTGAAGTGGCTACCAGTTCTTGTTTACCAGTGTACCAGTAAACTGGACAGTTATTTAATAGAAAAATATAACCAGAAGTGCTCTTTCTGCATGATATATCTCCAGCCCAATCCGCATCTGCGTAACAAGTAAGTTTTGGCTCTTTGTCATTACTAGGTTCTAATACTAAACAAAAATCTAATGTACTTTTTAGATATCTTAGGATTCTTTTGACAGCTTCCCAATGATACATAGTTGGTTTACTAACATGTCTTGACAATAAATTGAGAGGTAATGCAATATCTGGTCTGGTCCAATTAGATATATAAAGAAGTGAACCTATGACTGATCTATAGAATGTATTATCTTTAAATTCAGGGGAAGACTCATCATTGTTTCTAAGGAAATCAGTTTGCATGGGAGTGTCACATGGTTTAGCATTGTTTAGATTGCATTTGTTTAGAAGTTCAATAATCTTATCTTTCTGAGTAAGTTTGAATCCCCTTCTAGTTTTGTTAATTTGTACACCAAGGTATTTGTTTACTTTACCTAGAGATTTCAACGAAAAATGTTCGTTTAGCTTATTTACAAAGGTTTCTCTTCTTTCCTTGTGTTTTCCTATATATAAAATATCATCTACATAAATTAACACGAATTCAATGTGATCATCACTTTTTTTTACAAAGAAACAGTTATCAGCGGTGGTAGCGTTAAAATCCATGGTCTTAAGTACTTTTACCAAACAATCATACCATCTTTTGCCAGATTGTTTTAACCCATACAGACTTTTGTTCAATAGCCAGATTTCATTCTTATTAGTGTATTGACTGTGTGGTGCCCTTACATATATTTCCTTATCTAGTTTCGCGTGTAAGTACGCAGTCTGTATGTCATATTGGAATACATCAAGATTGAGTGCAGATGCCACTACCAGAGCTGTTTTAACACTCTCTGTTCTCACTGTGGGAGAGTATGTGTCAGTATAGTCCTCCGGATATTTTTGTGCATAACCTTGTGCAACTAATCTGGCTTTGTATAGAGTATTGCCTCCTTCTAGATTCTTAATTTTATAAATCCACCTAGTACCTATGATTGTTTTATCTTTAGGTGCGGTCGCAGGTGTGAATACATTTAATCCTTGCAAACTTTCCATCTCTTTTTTCATAGCTAGTTCCCATTTTTCCTTTTCTTCATAAGGGAGTTTTAATACTTCCTCATATGTATTAGGTGTTATTTGTTCACCATCCATATGCATTATATAATCTCTGTATTTACCTGGTATTTTATTTCTATTGTTTCTAATAGCTCTTTCAGGTTTGCTATGGTTGTCATGCAAATATCTTGCTTCCTTTTTTGTTAATGTGTCTGTCTTTATTTTGTGCTGACTATTTGTCCAAGTTTTGGTTTTGTTTGTATTTTTGTTGATATTTTGATTCTCTATTGTTCCTTCCTCACAAGATTTTGTATCTTTGTATTTATCTGGAAATATTTCATTAAGATGTAATTTAGACCAATTTGCTTGTTCATGGAACACAGCTGTTCTGGAGACTATAAATTTGTTATTATTATCAATGAATCTGTACCCTTTGGTGCCAGTTTCATATCCCATAAATCTTAATCTTCTGGATACGTTTTCTCCCTTTCTTCTCAACTGCTTAGGTATATGTACGTCTGCAGTGACTCCAAATATGTGCATGTGTGCTAATTTGGGTTTCCTATTATACATCACCTCATATGGTGTTTTATTCACAATACTGGACCAGGTTCTATTTTGAGTGTAATTTGAATAATGTAAGGCTTCTGACCAAAATTGTTTGCCTAAACCAGCATCCTCTAATGTGCATCTAATCATGGTTTGCAGTGTGGAATTCTTTCTCTCTGCAACCCCATTTTGGAATGCAGAAAATGGACTAGACGTGAAATGTAGCATTCCTCTATCCTTTAACCATTGGGAGAATTCTTTAGACATGAATTCACATCCCCTATCTGTCATAATTTGTTTTATTCTGATATTATGTTGTGTTTCTATGCGTTTGTAGAATTCCTTAAATTTCTGAAAGGTTTCATCCTTGTGTTTTAATGTGTAAACAAAACCATAGCGACTATAGTCATCTACTATTGTTAGGAAGTAACGCTTTCTATAAGTGATTGATGGAGTTAATGGACCAACTAAGTCCATATGTACTAAGTCAAAAATTTTGTTAGTTGATCTGTTGGATTTTTTTGGTCTGGGACTAGTTTTTAGTTTAGTGGATTTACATACTGAGCATTCCAAATAATTTTCACAATTTTTTATTTTGACACCTTCTGCGTGTTCAGTCATTTTTTGTACTACAGGAAAACTTGCATGTCCTAACTTCCTATGTAAGATGTGAGCACACTCATCATGAATTGGTTTACCTATTCTTGGTCTCTTCTCTTTGTGTGTATTTGTGTGATCATGGGATATTTCACATTCATCATTGTCACTGTTACTAACATTTTCATTATCTGCCTCAATACAATCCTCCATATTTGAGTCAATGTTATGTAACCATCTTTCTTTTGTTACTAGATAGGGTAGGCCTCCTTTAATCATCACAGTACCTACATTTGTTTTGTCCTTCTCTAAAGTTGCTTTCCCCTTTGAGAAAACTATATTGATATCAGAATCTCTACTTAGTTTTATGACACTTAGTATGTTATGAGGTATTTCAGGGATTAACAATACCCCCTCTATTTTTCCTAGACCAGGCAATGTTATGTTTCCTCTGCCTAATACTTGAACCTTTTCTTGATTAGCCACCTTTATTACAAACTTATCTTCTGTAAATGAAGATAGAATATTTTTGTTATTAGTGGTGTGATTGGTTGCCCCAGAATCGATAAGCCAATTATCGTTCTCATTTTGTTGTGTTTTAGTGCTGTCTTGTTTATTTAGTCCATTCAGTGAACCAGATTTTCTCTCTTTTGAATTTTCTCTACCCCCTCTACTCTCTCTGTAATTTGGTGGGCTTCTATATTTATATCTATCTGTGGAAGACTGTCTATAATTGTATCTGCTTCTATATTCTGGCCTATGTCTCTCCTTTGATATTTTGGGACAGTCTCTTCTATTGTGTTCCCTGGACCCACAATTGTGGCATTTAAAAGTTTCATTGTATTTTTCTTGAAAAGCTACCTTCCTAAAAGATTTGTGTTCTGTGTGATTGCTAGAACGATTTTTTCTTGAATTGTCTTCAGCTATCAATTTGTTAGATAGACTCTCTATGGATAAATATCCTAGATTGATGGTGTCTAAGTGTGACATAAAACTATCCCATGATGAATCAAGTGAATTGATAATAACACTTTTCATTGTTTGATCTGAAATCACTTCCCCCCTCAGATGCAGCTCAGCTCTTATTTTGTTTAGAGATATCAAATGCTCACTTATGGAAACCCCTGGTTTTACTCTAGAAGAAAAGAAATCCTTAGACATTCTCGTAGTGGTAGCTACACTGTCGCTGTGGAATAGATTAAACATGCATTGAATTATTTCTGAGACAGTTAGGTTTGGTTTGATACTATGATACATTGCAGGAGATACGCTAGATATTATTAAGAAGAATGCTCTATGATGTAAACAATCTATTTTTAAAGTCCAAGGTCTTCTTGGAGGACTAGTGATAAAGAATAGTAAATTTTCTTTCATAAAGACAACCTGGAGCTGTTGATACCACTCTTGCAAATTAATGCCATCAACTCTAAGTTTTGGGAAGTCACTGGGTAAGTTTCCCACATTATTTTGTCCATTACTTACAACCTGAGGTAGTCCGTGATCTCGCAAGTGCAGGAAATTGCAAAACGGCATAGGGATGCTCGCAACGAGTCTGCGCGGTTCTCTGGCCAGTTCAAGTCTTTCCGGACCGTCTACGTAGTTTCGCACATGCGCGTTGTTCATTTCTTCTTTGGCATCGTCGTGGAAGGTTCTCTCCATTTCAGCTCGTTCGCTCTGCTCCTCTTCAGACGAGTCGGTCTCTGGCTCGGTTTTAGGAGTTCTGATGGCGGCGGCTGTTCTTCTCTTTCTCCTGTGTGCGTTGATATTTGATCCGGTCTGCGGCGTGGGGCGGAATCGGCATGGCTCTCTGGGCTCGGGCGTCGTCGCTCTCGAAGTCAGGATGGGAGCGTGTAGTTCTTGAGGTATCGGCTTGTTCTTTTGCTTCTTCGTTGGCGCTTTGGAGATTTTTAATTTTGGCCCAAATGCAGCAAAAAGCGTCTTCATTGCTGATTTTATTTGGGATTTGGTAAAATCGTCTTCGCTATCTGATTCGGGTTCTTCTGGAGATTTCGAATCTTCCGTTTCACTTTCGTTGTCTGATAACGTTTTTCGCGCCAGAAATTTTGAACTGAGCATTTTGATTGGCTCTGCTTCGCTCCCTTTGGAGGCTTGTTGAAACCAAGATGGCTGCCATTCAAAATTTCGCGCGGCATCACATCTTTTCTTTTTCATAACGACTTTCTCTGTAGTCATATCACTCACAGTTTTTTTGGTCTTTGGGTTTCTCTTTGACGATGTTTTTCTCTCTCGCTGCTCCGCTGTTTTTCAGCATTTCTTGGAGATTCGCGATGAGACTTTCATCATTCTTCTGGCTTTTTAATATCTTTAATATTTCTGACCTGAGTTCGTTATTTTCTATTTCGATTTCCTCCTGGTCATTATTTCCATTTATTAGTTCTTCTTCTTCTGTGGTGTACTCTTCGGATTCTCTCGAAATCGCGTTTGTGGATTCGTTGATTATTTCTTGTTCAGTTTCTATTTCTTTGCTGTAGGCCCTGGTGTTGGGCCTATCTTTCTTAGACATTTTTAATTATTTATTGAGTCAATTAACCATCCTCTGCTACCAATTCTTTTGAGATTGGTAAAATGAGAACCCAGATTGTTGTGGACAATATGATGACATTTGCAAACCACTTAGAGAGTGCTGTAAAGCACAATGGAATGGTAAACAAATCTATGTGCTATTGCTACTGCTACAGACACCTTACTTATTGAGTAGGAACATATTAGCATTATTTTACATCTGTTGGGCAAGTGAGGCTTTGAGGTTTGTTTCGTTAAAACAATTCTTAGGTCTTCCTGACACTTAGAGCCAATGAATGAGTGCGCAATTCTTCTCTGGCTTGCAAGAAAGTGAGACCACTAGATCTGAATCTTAACAAAGTCTTCACAAAGTCCCCCTCCTCTTATTCAGTAGGTAGGGAATAGAGAAAGTGATATCATTAAATATCTATACAGGAGAATATTCATAGCTCAGCACTGATAATGTTATCTAGTTTGAATAATGAAATGCCTGCAAGAAAACAACAACAAAGCTTAGAAAGCATTAATGACCCCTCTCTTTAACCTTGAGCTACAGATATTCTACTTTGCTTTGAGTTGATTTTATTTAGACATGTAACTTTGCATTCTTCCTTAGTTGGTCCACCAGCTCTGGTGCCTTTCTACCTGCAGTGGTATGTTTTCTACTTCGTTGTTCAACGCAAAAATTGGGTGGTAAGTCGTATTTCCATTATGGTTTCAAAAGGAGGTTGCATTTCTATTGTAGCATAATAAAGGGAGCCATAGCAAAAATGTAGGTGCGTTTTTAGGATTCTGTAGATGCATTTTGGTATGGGATTACACCATACTATTTGACAGAATATTTCTGTTTTTTGTGGCAGGATTTAGCTTGGATGGTGACCTTCTATCTCCGGTTCTTCATAACATACTCATTTCTACTAGATCTCAAGAGTCTGTTGGGTCTCTTTCTCCTGCTCAGGCGAGTTCCATTTGATCCCACACTTTTCCTGATTTCTTTGGGTTGCCATGCCATGTCCTTGTAGGCAAAGCTTTTTGCCTTATGCAGCCATATGTATTGGCTTTCAAGGTCTGCAATTCTCAAGACATTCTAAGATAGTATTGATTCTCGCACAGTTGGGAGGACACCAGTCGGGGCAAATTGAATAAATACATACATCAATATTCAGACCCAAAACCAGAATTTTGCTTTCTCTCTTGCTTGAGTGCTCTGATTCAGACCAGGAATGGAATGCCTCAGCCTTCCCTGAGAGGATGTTGTGGGATGGAGCATGTTCACATACAATGCCTTTTTGCATTTATAGATGCATGGTGTCTTCTCAGAGTTGCTTTTCAGCAGATGGCAACATCTAGTCAACCTTAGTTGATCTTGGAATGGCCAAGATTCTGAGCAGCTTTGTCCATGGCTATAGTACTTGGATTGAAGACCCCCTGGAAGTTTCAGAGTTGTTGATTAGACCTGGAAGTTTTAAAATCTTTCTGGAAGAAGAGAATGTCAAATCCCTTTTATCACATCGCCAAGATGTGCCATGTATACACTCACATAGAGTTGAACCAGTGGTGAAATGTAAAATTTGTTACTACTGGTTCTGTAGGCGTGGCTTGGTGGGGGGGGAATATGACTAAGTGGGCGTGGCCAACTTTTTTTTTTAACTTTTAAAACCATTTTTTCTACAACCTCTTCGGTTGAAGTGGTTGTAAAAAAAATGCTTTTAAAGCCTCTGACGATCCCAGCTGACTTGCCTGATCGGCAGAGGCTTTCTTTTTTTTTTTTAAAGCCTCTGATGATCCCAGCTGACTTATCTGATTGGCAGAGGCTTTCTTTTTTTTTTTTTCAAAGCCTCTGACGATCCCAGCTGACTTGCCTGATCGGCAGAGGCATTTTTTCCTTTTTCCTTTTTTCTATAACCTCTTTGGCTGGAGAGGTTTTTTTTTTTTTTTTTTTTTTTTACTTTTAAAAGCATTTTTTCAGCCAAAGAGGTTGTAGAAAAAATGCTTTAAAAAAAAAAGCCTCTGATGATTGCACGGCTCAGCTGGGCATGGCGGGGGGCAGGGATTTTTGCTACCGGTTCTCCGAACCACCCACCTCCATCGCTACTGGATTGGGCGATCCGGTCTGAACTGGGAGCATTTCAACCCTGAATTGAACTCAAGAAGAACATGTCTTTTCCTTTCTTTTTCTTTTAATCAGAATTAGGGTCAGGGTTTTCTCTTCACATCTTCCCAGCCATTATACTGACATTTTCTCAGTGGAAAACAAATGCTAAATAGGCTACACCCCGAGTCCAATTTTACCATGAAGGTTGATGGATTATGTGCCATCAAATGGTTTTTGACTCTTGTGACAACATAGATTTTCTCCATGAGAATAGAGATTAATCTACTATAATTCACAGGGAAATCTACAACTCCAAATCCTCTCCTAGAATCAATTTGGTGTAATGATTAAGGTGCTGAGCTAGAGACTGTGAGTTCCAGGTGTCCCTTAGGCATGAAAGCCAGCTGGGTGACTTTGAGCCAATCACTTTCTCTCAGGCCAACTCACCTTTCACGGTTGATATTGTAGGAAAAATAAAAGGAGAAACATCACATTCACTATTTTGAGTTGTACAAAATAAAGATGGGAAATTATTGTTAAGAGTTATTGTTAGTTGTTAACAACATTATTGTTATAATTATTATTAATAATAGTAGAGGTTCTTAATATGCCACTGTTACTCTGAATAATAATGAATTCTTCAGTAGCTCATTTTTTTATAGGGAAAAATATATCTCATATTTGGCTTTTGTTTAATTTTCTTCTAGTTGCATTTCCCCCTAATTCTGCTTCTCTTTTGGTGTTTCTCTACTACTTCCAAACTGCTTTATTTGTATTTTTGTGTAGGTTGCAAAAATTGTAATCTGCTTTTATATTTGCTGCCTAGAATCATAGAAAGTCACTGGTTTGTCTGGGTGACACAAATGAACCACATCCCAATGGCCATTGATTATGATAAGAACATGGACTGGCTTTCAATGCAGGTGAGATGCACATCCTCCCCCACCCTTATTTCAGGTGACATATCTTATTCATATATATATGTGATATAATAGATAGAGTGGAAGAAGGCAAAAGAGAAAAATGAAATTCTCCTTCTGAGGAAGAAGACTGGTGTGAGGCAAGAACTGTCTGATCTCAAGCTTTGATAGTCTTTAGATATGAGGTATGATGAAATAGATTTTGCCCCTTAAAATCCCCCTCTCATCCCCCGAAATATTTGGACATGCAGATCAAGATCTGCTCTGGGATTAAAACATTGCACAAGACTAGTTAGGTACCTGTAGATCCTTGAAGGGTTTTTGGGGTTGAGATCTGCTTGAGATTTTCTGCTATTCTCTGAGATTACAGAGGCTGTATTAAGAAACATGGTTTACCAATAAGCCATATGTTTGGATTTTTTTGGGGGGGGCAGGGGTAGGATGATCAGAGTCATTGCAGACATAATATGGAAGTCATTTTGGTTTTCTGCAGTTCAGATTGCAAGTGAGAAAGCATATTTGTTCTGTAATAGTCTTGATAGCATCCATGGGTGTAAATTGTTCAACTTGCCTTTTCCTTGTGGGAATTCAGGGCCAAATTAAGAGTCCATTATAAGCAGAATATTTATAAAGTGAACCATGCTATTACACCTTGTTTGCAGGTCAGTGAGTTCTAAGGATATCAATTTATTCCATCCAGATAAGTAGAACCTAAGCCTAGCTCTGATTCAGAGACCAACCCTTATGTGGCACAAATAAAATCAGGGTTCTAGAAAGGGGAGACAAGTCTTAAAGTTGTGATCATTATAACAGTTTTCTGCTTATATGGGACTCACCATGGAGTTCTCACACTAACTTTATTTTGATCCAAAGTATAAAATTTTCTTCTTGCTTAGAGTACAGATTGAGAAAGCTGCAGGAAATGTCCAGCCAGAAACAAAATCACTACATTCTTAGAGTTGGTTTATTCCTCTCTTTTTTCCCGTTTCAGCTTCAGGCAACATGCAATGTAAACCAGTCCTTATTCAACGACTGGTTTACAGGGCACCTCAACTTCCAAATTGAACATCAGTAAGTACATTTGTCTTAGGGGAAATGGAAATTTGGGGAGTGGGGGTAACACAGTTTCAAATAACTCAGAGCTTAGGAAATAAAGGGGATATTGCTTGATAATTGTGTTTGCTACATTTTCACTGTTGTTCTCACCATATTTGTCTTCTGAAGTTTCACATAGGATCCCGAATGAAGAGGAACATAAGTATTATGCAGATTAAAAATCTTCAATAAGATATCCAAGGTTCCTTCAAACCCTATTATTTTATGTTCTAATAATTCATCAGACTCATTTCAAGGAATAACTAGCTGACTTTCACATCTTTCATTGTTGCTTTACCTAGAACAAATTTCCTCTTTCTTTCTTGAGAACTTAACCTGAATCCTCCTACTTTCTCCTACAAAGCCTGTTCTTTGTTCTTTAACCCTTAAGTCCCTTCTCCCTTTGCCTGCTTATTCTCCAAATGTTCATCCTTATTTTTCCCTGAGGAAAAATCAAACTGCCACACCCCCATCTTTCACTTCTCCTGATATCCCAGACCTAAAATCATAACCAATTTACTCTCAACAAAACTGAATACTTCAATGGGGCAATACTTTCTTCTGCCCTTCTCCTCTCTGGCCAGGTAGGTCTTCTGTCAATATGGTCTTTCCTCACATACAGCATCCTCTCCTGCTCTTCCTCTCAGTGTTTTGAAGTAGTATGAATGGCTGGCCTACAAAAGCTGTACACAACTCAGTCAGTTGAGATACAGACTTGCCAGGCTCCAACAGAAGTGAACATGGCTAGAAATCACATTTTTTCTATTGCAGGAAACAGGAGTTATAACAGATATTTAATTATTTCTCATTGAGAGGAAACAGTTCTGGACTTTTCTGCACTATAGCAAGTTGTACATGTAGATCAACCCTCATAATTTATAACCATTCAGATTGTTAGGAAATGGTTATTTGTCTAACTAGTTGGTCAGGCAATATATAAACCAACAATGTATGTTTGCAGTCAGAAAGGTATTATATTGCTTTAAGACTGTATTGCATCATCCTGTATCCTGATTGGCTAAGCTCTGTAGCCAATGTACTTAAGGGAAGTCAGGATCACGGCTTGTGTGGATACTACATCATTTTACCTGCTTATTTGCTTTAACTCTCTACCTGATCTCTCTGCATGATCACTAGCTACATGTTGCTTTCTACTATTTATTGAATTTTTTGATATTGAACTTGTTCCTGTTGTGAAACTCAAGAACTGTTTTATTGTGTATGATTACAGCTGATAAGAAGACTTTGTACTTGAAATATCCCTGGATTGATCTTTTAACTCTCGTATTATCTGTGTATGACTTGGATAGTTTTTGGACTTTGCTTTGGACTCACTGTGTTTGTGTGTTGACTATGATTGTTCACAACCACTCCCAGTTGCTTTTCATGCGTTTACTCAAAGGGTACTCTGTTCAATAACCCACAGCATCGGTTATGAGCCAAGAATATCCTTAACACAGATTTTGAATATTTCATACACTCTTGCGATCCACCCTTTTTGGAGAAGAGACTTGGATTTCCTCTAACCCCTTTACTGTCAATGATAGATGCTTGTTATAGTCTCCTCATTCTAGGCCTCCCATTCAGATTGTTCAATCTTTCAGCCACTGAACCCTGACAAGACCCATTACAATAATCTGTGAAGATGGTTAAGGGTAAAAAAATGGCAAGACATAGCCACAGAAGGAAAACTCACCATGCAATCAATCTTAGATATATCTCTGCCTGTTTTGCTTAAGAACTCAATCAAACTAGGCAAGAGATGCCAGAACTCTGCTTAGGTGCTTCTTCTAAACCTTTCTGTTCAGCTCCTTTGGGAAGAGGTTGTTGGGCTTGAAGGCATGCCTATCTCATTATTATAAGAAGGGGAGCACTAGACTGTATGACATCTTACAGGTCTCTCTCTCTCTCTTTTCTTTCATGTAGCCTTTTTCCCACCATGCCTCGACATAATTACTGGAAGGTGACCCCCTTGGTGAAGTCCATTTGTGAAAAGCATGGCATCCAGTATCAATCTAAGCCTTTATTCACAGCCTTTGCAGATGTTGTATGGTAAGCATTGGCTCTTATAACAAAGTTGAACCTTTTTTGATCCACTGTGATCATTAAGTTCACAGACCGTACTGGGTCTTATCACAAGTGGAGACGAAACTGTACAGAGGGGAGGTTCAAAAACTATCCACATGGTACTTAAAAAACAACCTGCACCTGAACATCAGCAAGACTAAGGAGATGGTGTTGGACTTCTGGAGGAAGAGAGAGGATTCTGCCTCACTTTACATCAAGGGGGGCTGTGTAGGGAGAGTTTCCTCCTTTAAATTCCTGGGAGTCCATCTCAGCGAAGACCTCACCTGGAAAAAAACAGTTCCAGGAAGGCCCAACAGAGACTCCATTTTCTTAGGGTCTTGTGTAAAAATAGGGTAGAACAACAACTGATGACCTCCTTTTACTGGTCCACAATAGAAAGCGTCTTCACTTAATGCATTACAGTATGATATGCTGGTTTGACAGCCGCAGATAGAAAAATATTACAGAAGGTGGTGAGCACAGCACAAAACATCATGGGCTGTCCCCTGATACCACTAGATGAGATCTCTAGGGCTCGCTGCCTTAGAAGAGTGAGGAAACTCCTCAGGGATGACTCACACCCTGGTCAGCACTTCTTTACCCTCCTTCCATCGGGAAGGAGATACAGAAGCATAGCCAGCCACACAAACAGGCTGAAGAACAGTTTTTATCCGTGGGCTGTCAGACTCCTGAATGCGAAATAACATCATAACTATGTAGTATGATGGACTTGCAGGGCTGGTGCAATGTGTAACATGTTCACACTGGTGCAATAGGACTGGGTGTTTGTTAATATGATTTATTGGGTTAGGGATTTTCTGTCTTCACTGTGAATTGTATTGTGTTGGGGGAGGGTGCACTGAGGGAGCTCAACCAATCTCATTGTACATATGTTGTGCACTGACAATAAAGATTTGAAATTTTGTCCCAAAGGTGCTTTCCTAAAAAGTAACTGGATTTCTTGTTTTTTTCCTTGAAAATGGTTCACTTCTTATCCAAGAAGTTTCTTCAGTTCTCAGCTTCTTCAGCTTCTTAGATGAAAGTAAACATTTTCAAAAAAAAAAAAAAAACCCCCCAAGAAAGTACAATTGCTTTTTGGAAAAGCACCTTTGTGACAACCATAACCTGGATGATAGAAAATCTCCATAGACATCAAACTTTTTTTGGCAAAGCAATTTCACTGATGAGAATGCATTTTTGGAAAAACCAAGGAAAATAACTTTGACAGAAATATGTAAGAACTATTATCTAGACAAAGGAAGTTATTATCTAGACACCACTTGTCCTTGTCAGCTAAACAATGCCGGCTGGCGGGCCCGCAGGGGAGGGCCTTCTCTGTGGCTGCCCCAGCTCTCTGGAACCAGTTACCTCCTGAGGTCCGGACCATCCCCACCTTATTGGCCTTCCGAAAAGCGGTGAAGACCTGGCTTTTCCGGCAGGCCTGGGGCCGTTGATCTTGCTCTTGTGATCTGGCGAGATCCGGCCATGAATGGCGTGAATGAGTTTTTAATGTTTTTAATTTTTAAATGTTTTTTATAATGATTTTTTAAAATGTATTATGAGCTGCCCTGAGTCTTCGGAGAGGGGAGGCATATAAATTGAATTAATTAAATTAAATTAGACAAAGAATGAACCGGTAGCAAAGGTTAGTGAAACCCACCCCTGATAAGGACAGCCACAAGTCAGGAGCTTATTACAGGAACCACCTTTGGTTCTCTAATTGTCTTTGAGGAAGTCTTAGAGTTCTGAGATTGCACTGGTGTTCTAAGATACCCAGTGCATATTTGGCTGGTGACTGCATGCAAATCGATGTAAGTACATGAAGAAATCTCATATGATTACTTGGTTCCCTCAAGTCACAAACAAATATGTGAACCAAATCTATTGAAAAGTATAGCTTAATACTCTGGTTTCTCTTCAGATCGTATAGATCTTTCTCCTTTTACTATTGAAAATTATAACCTCAAAATGTGATGAAAACACAGCCATGGCTTATTCACTGAATGATTTATTCACACATGCAAGGCTCTATTTCACCATACAGATAGTTCTTGATTAATGATCACTCATTTAGCAAATGTTCAAAATTGTGATTGTGCTGAACGAATACTGTAGTACTTACAACAGTCCTTGAAATTCTGAGCATTGCAGCAACTCCCCTCCCACTGCCAGGTCATGCGATTGTCATTTGGGCATTTGGCAACCAGTCCACACTTACCACAGCTGCAGCATCTGACAGTCATGTGATCATTCCCAGGAGGAAAGGTTGCAAGTTGCTTCTGTTGCTTTTTTTCCTGAGGAACCTGCTACAGAGAATGAGATCTTGCCTACAGTGTTCCCTGCCCAAATTGTGCAGCAACTCCCTTCACCTGGCTGTGCTTGTATGGTGTCACAGTATCCCTTCCCTCACCCAGCCACAATTGTTTGCACAATGCTATACTGTCCCCTCACTCACCTGGCTGCACTTCATAATACTCACCTGCCTGCCGGCCTGCTTGCAAGCTGCCTGAGACTTTGGATTTCCTACCAGTTTCCCTATTGATTTAACTTGTTGGAAGTTGGCAGGAAATCACAAGTTATAGTCACATGAGATCCCTGCTTAATGACCTGCAATCTTCACTTAACAAAGGCAGTGGGGACTGCCAGGATTGTCATGGCTAAATGATGCAATTAGATAAAGTGCTTTACAACCATACTGCTTGGTAATAGAAATTCTGATCCCAATTGCTGTTGTAAGTTGAGGACTACCTGTATATCATTTCATGAAGAGTTTATGTACATAAATAAGTACCATGACTCTCTCCAGGAGATAGTACTGCCTTAATCCCTGTAATTTAATTCTCTCCAGTCCATGTTCTTCCATCTTGGATGATCCTTACATTTCTTATCCTACCATTCACATTTGTCATTGGTGCATACCCCGCATTTCCTTGTTCAACTGTTAATGTGATTTCTTCTTCATAGTGCCTGAGCTGGCTTTACCTCTTTTCTACTCTTTCTTCTAGCTCTCTCAAGGAATCGGGGCAGCTCTGGTTGGATGCCTACTTGCACAAGTAGGAGCCAAACACCATCCCTTGTGGGACAGTTTTTCCCATCCTTGTCACCTCTGCAATTGAAGAAAGCAAGTGCCTGGTTGAGTTGGGGAAGATTACCCTTGTGAGCTGAATTCTGAAACCTGGTGTTGCTACTCCAAACATTCTCATGTTTTCCTTTTTAACTTGCGCATCTACTATCTCTCCTTTCTGCCTGCTGACCTGAAAGTTTGTTCAAAAATGCATATTCTCCAGCCTTCAGGACAGAAAGCAATACCAGGAAAGGTCTTCACTGCCACTTCACTAAACTTGGTGTTTAGCAAAAAAAAACAACAACAAAACACTACCTTAGTTGCCTATTCATTGTGGAGTACAAGAGCCTATTTTGTGGAAGCAGTTGAAAGGAGAGAACCTGGAAAGAGAAATTCAGGAGCTGGGAATAGAAACTCCTGGTAGGGGAGATTCAAACTGGGCCATAGCTTAGCACTGGAGAAATTTGGAGAAGGAAGAAACAAAGGAGATTACAGGGGCTGAGAGCCTTGATTGAAAGCAGCATATCAAGGAAATAAATCAATGATTTACATGAATAGATATCAATCAGTTCCTGGATGTGATTCACAAGCACTAGAGAATAGTTAGGCAAGCTTAATTATGGGGAGGAAAAGAGGATTGTCTTTTGTGCCACAACTCCCTGACTTTCCTGGATGTACTTTACATAAAAGGATAAAGAACATAATATAATTAATCACATGCCTCTTCTATAAGTGTATAAGACAAGTTAGTGAAAGGAGACTAATGAATGTTGATGGATTTATTATTAATTATTAGTGCAAATAAATGCTGTTAGTCTTTGGGCAAATCTGTTGTTACATTTTGGAGGTGCAAGAGGAGAATTAAATCTTTCGGTATTGCTTATTTATTATGGCCACTTTCTATGCCTGAATTAAACTTTGTTCTCCAGAAGGGCTAAACTTCTAAACTTTATGACTTGTTGACTTCAACTCCCAGAATTCATGAGCCAGAATGGCTACCAACCACCCCCAAAGTTGTATGCTGCTCTTTGATTCTCATGCAAGCTGACAGAGCCAAGTCTTTTATGCTCTTCCTCCGAAAAATAGGGACCAATATCACCTCTAGGGGAAAAATGTTTCATACGGTGGGGCAATAGCAGAGAAGGTTGTCGCCCTAGATCCCATCAGTCATATTTCTTTAACTGAAGGGATCCATAAAATATCCTCTCAGCATGACTAGATAGTATGGGTTGAGGTAATTTGGGTAAAACAGCTTCTCAGGTAACTGGTCCCATGCCATGAGTGGCTTTAAAGATAATAACCAACACCTTGTACTGAAAGCAAACTGGCATCCAATGCAGTTCACACAGCAGAGGTGTTATAACACAATCCTTGAGGTACCCAGAACAGCTCACTTGCTTGCATTCTGCACCACACCAGCTGTAGCTTCCAGATGCTCTTTAAAAATAGCCCCATGTAGGGCACATTGTAACATAAATTGATCCATACTACTAAATGATTCATTCTACTAAATGAACACTGAGGGAAATATTGTTTCTGTTGTTAAATGGATGGATTGTACTGGGTTTTATTGCAAACACTCTATATGGGTGTTACGCAGATTAACCATGTAGTACAGTTGTCAATTACTTCACTGCCTTGAAGCTAAACAAGAGCCAAGTATCTCCACCAATGATTTTTCCATAATCATATTAGGAATATTGTGTCCAGTTCTGGGTAATTCAATTTAAAAAGGACAATAAGTGCCAAGAAGGGCTACCAAAATAGGGAAGGATCAGGAAACCAAGCACTACGAGGAAACATGTAAATGGAATATCTATCTTCAGCCTGGAGATTTATTTATTTAGCGTATGGTTGGTCACACACAGTATTAAAACACTTCATTTTTACAGGTTAAAAACAATTAAAACAATAAAAAAGCAGTAAGAAAACCTAAAAGGAAAACAGAAATAACATTTCAAAGTTTAATGTTGAGTTTGGAGATCCAGTCAGTAGCTGCCGTTGTTATGTAGAGGAAGTCCCTAGAATCTCCTGGATACCTTCTGTTAGGGCATTCCCTCACTATATGCTGTCGAGGAGCCCCACAATCACATTGTGCTGAAGGTGTCTTTCCCCATTTATACAGGGAGTCAGCACACACCCCATGAGTTGTTCTAATTCTATTATATGTCACCCATATGTGTCAGGGTAGGCTAAATCCTGGAGGCATACTACTAGGACTGATATGCTCAGAGACATCTTGGGGGGAACAGCTATTCCACGCCTCCATCCACTTTTGTGTGGTGTTCTGATGATCGGCCATCAACTTACGCGCTGTCAAGATTGGTGGATTTCTTGACTTTAATCGGCATCTTAAGAGATCAGGAATGTATCCATGTATGGGTAGAGAGGAATTTAACAGGATCTTACCATACTCCCGAATGAGAGCTTCTTGTTGTCGTAAGTGCGGGGGAGTATGTGACTAAGAACTGGTAACCAGTAACTAGGTGTAGATTTTATGCACCCAGTAATTAGCCTCATCGTATGGTTAAGTTGAACATCAATAAATCCTGTATGTGAGCTGTTTATCCATACAGGTGCACAGTATTCCGCTGCAGAGTAGCAAAGCCCGAGGGCTGCACATCGGAGAGTTGGGGCTGAAGCTCCCCAAGTTGTTCCGCATAGCTTTTGTAGGATGTTATTTCTGCTGTTAACCTTGGCAGCCATATTCTGGATATGTTTCTTAAAGGACAGGGTCCTGTCTAAGGTGACCCCCAGGTATTTTGGTGTTGCCTCGTATGGGAGCAGTTTGTTATTTAGGTATACATTGAGTTCTCTTTTTGCCAATTTGTTGTTGAGGTGAAAACATGATGTAACTGTTCTCAGCCTGGAGAAAAGATAGCTTAGAGAAGATGTGATAGCCCTCTTCAAGTATTTGAAGGGCTCTCATACAGAAGAAGAGTGGACATGTCCTATTGCCCCAGAGACCAGGACCAGAAGTGATAGGTTAAAATTACCTGGAAGGAAATTCCTATAAGCTGTCAAGGAGAATTTTTTCAGCTTTGTAGACTTAGTCAATAGAAATCTTGTTATATGAAGTGGTGAGTTTTTCACCAGAAGTATTCAAATAAAGGATGAAATGCTCAGATATGCTCAAGTGGATTCTGCATTAAGGATAGCTTCATACTTTGCTCTGCATTGTTTCCTGATATCCTCACTCAAACTGCCAGCAGAAATACTGGATTGTGCAGAAAGATTTGGGTGGAGGTCCCCAGATTCTCATGATGTGTGAAAATACTTGCTTGTTTGACAGCTGAGTTCTGTGAATTCCTGTGACTTTGTATTGCTTTGATCTTGTGGTGTTACAGCTTCTGCTCTAAGTTACTTTAGCAATTTATTCCATGAATTTCAAAACAATTTTGAAATCTTTTCCAAAGTCATAGTTTAAATGTCTATCACATGTTCTACAAACTTGTTTGGAAATGCCATTTAATTGTTGCTTAGCTTGAGAATCTGTCACTGCTGCAATATAAATATTTTTTATGTGCTAGCACTGCTGATTGCCAGCAGGCAAGATAGTTAATTGGATGCCTGCCATAGTCCATAGATATGCAAACTCAAACAGATGTTTTAGAAGTGAGGAATCCCTTTTACCTATAGGATTTGTATAATATTTGGGTGAATACTAGAGGAAAAAAAACTGACATTGCTATACGTGTGTACTACAGGCCATCCATTCAAGCAAGCAAAGGAAATAGATGAACTGTTTGCTAGTCAGTTAAGTGTGCAGGAAATATGCCACTGTAGTAATGGGGGACTTTAACTATCCTGACATTAACTGGGAAACAAACTTTCTAGTGAGATCAAATAGACTTCTGACATCCTAGCTAGCTGACAACGTTGTCATCCAAAAGATGGAGGAGGGAGCTAGAGGATCAGCTATGCTGGATTTGATTCTTACTAACAGCGATGAAATGGTTGAGGGACTGGAAGTTGTAAGAACTTTGGGGAAGAGTGACCATATCATACTTGAATTAACCATAATGCAGGCACAGGTGACCAAACCAAGTTAGACATGTGTTTTAGATTTTAACAGAGCTAACTTCAACAAACTAAGAGAGAGAATGGGGAAGAATCCATGGATAGAAATCCTAGGGGAAAAACAGTCCAGGATTCTTGGGATACTCTAAAAAATGAGATAATAAAGGTCCAAACAAAAACAATATCACAGAGAAAACCCCCCCAAGAGATTCCAGATGAAACCAGCATGGCTATATAAAGAGCTTTCTGAAAAACTGAGGGACAAAAAGGACAAGTATAAAAAAATTTGAAGAGGGACACATAACTAGAACAGAATATTAGCAAATAATCCGAATCTGCAAGGAATAAGCTAAGACATGCAACAAATGCTAAAAAAAATAACAAAAAAAAGTTTCTTTCAGTATGTAAGGTACAAGAAGAAAGTCAGGGAAATAATCAGTCCACTAATCAGAGAAGATGGCAAGAAGGTGACAAGTAGTAGGAAGGAAAAATAGTACAACCTATCAAAACCAGCACCGTGTGAGACAGAACAGGAATGCAGATCAAAATAAGCAAGGAATTGGTAAGAAAACACCTATCCACTTTGGACAAGTTGAGATCTCAGGGTATATATCAATGTACTGAAAGAGCTGGCAGTTGTGACCTTGGAACCAATGAATAGCAATAGCAATAGTTCTTAGACTTACATTCCACTCTGTAGTGCTTTACAACACCCTCTGAATGATTTACAAAGGTCAGCATATTGTCTCCAGCAATCTGGCTCCTCATTTTACCAACCTCAGAAGGATGAAAGTGAGTCAATCTTGAGCAGGTCAGGATTTAACTCTTGGTTGTGGGCAGAGTTAGCTTGCAATACGGTATTCTAACTACTGCGCCGCCATGGCTTATGAAAGAAATGAATCTGAGGGGATTGAAGGTGCCTCATCAAATCAAGGTAGGGTGAATTACTAACACTTTGGAAGATAGTCTTAAGATTCAGAAGGATCTTGACATATTGAGCATTGGGCCCTATTCAACAAATCCAATTCAGGGGTGGAAAAAGTAAGGTCCTGCGCTTAGGCAGGAAAAACCAAACACACAGGTATAGAATAGGCAGTACCTGGCTCAACGGTAGTACCTGTGAGAGGGATCTAAGTGTCCTGGACTATTGTTTAAGTATAAATCAGCAATATGTTGCAGCTGCCAAAAAAACCCTAATGTAGTCCTAGGCTGCATCATGTCATAAAAATATCCCAATAAAAAAACAGGAGACAGCAACACAAACAATAATTCTTACTTTAGGATTCAGAGGTTTCTTCCAGGAGAAATTTGGAACATGAACAGCCATCATAACACAACTTACATCAATAACCCATTGCAATTAGGTCCAGTGACAAAGCTGAGTCCAGCAAGGAGTAGCTACGGCCAGTGGCCCTGAACTCATCCCAAGATATTCTTTTTATATTTTTCTGCATGCATTTCACAACTTACTTCCTTGTTCACATATACCTGTGTACATCTCAAACCTCTATCCATCGGCCACTTTCAGTTTTATTTACTTATTGGTTTGATTTATATGCCGCCCTTCTCCGGATACTCAGGGCGGCTTACAATGCATTAAGCAATAGCCTTCAAACTTTTGTATATACCTGCTTAGTAGGGCTTTCGCCCCCCCACAAGCAGTGTTCTTTTTTATACAAAGTCAGCTTATTGCCCCCACAATCCGGGTCCTCATTTTACCTACCTTGAAAGGATGGAACGCTGAGTCAACCTTGAGCCTGGTGAGATTTGAACTTGCAGTAATTGCAGGCAGCTGGTGCTACTTAACAGCACTCTAGTCTGCTGCGCCACCAAGGCTCTTTCCTATTCCCTATTTCCCTATTT